GGCAATCGTATGTTTCCACGTGTTGGGCCGCAACGCCAAAGCATTATTAACTTCCGTGTTACTCCCAGACACAAGGTGTGCATGTAATCAAGTGGGAAACAACTTATCATATCAATCCGTAGAGCCTCAAAAGGTGATTCGCCGATGTGATGTTCCGGTTGTTTTCGTGTTCTAAAATCCATGTCATTACGTAATGAGCTTTGGGGTTCGGTAGGGAAGGTCATTCTACCATCAACGTGCGAACCTGCAAATGTTTATCAAACTTTACGCTTCGCTTACCAGTTATTGTGCATTTCTCGCAGGCGAAATATCCGGAATGTTGTTTCACCTGCCGAACATATGCTCGTGCAGGTGCATCGGCTATCACGCAGTCCAGCACGATATCTATAGCATCATCATTATCACACAAGCAGACACCTTTGCGTAACACATCCTTCAATTCATCCACCACTGGCCGCAGGAACTCATGCACATTAATAGGTTTTGATAATCCACTGTAAAGACCAATTAAAAACACATCGCTTGGCGGATTTATCAGCCTTCCAAGTACTGGCCACAGTTGTCTGCGCGAGCTTTTGAACACGGTCATTCCGTCTATATGGATCTGCAACTTTAGCAACGACGGACGGGGTGAATGCGTTCTGCGCAACACGTCACGTATGGCGTCCTGCAAACCCATATGGATGTAACTGCCACCTCTGATTAATCTCACTGGACACCGACGGGGTGTTTTCAAAATGCTACGAGCGTCAACCGGTAAGTTAGGATATAGGCGCCGAAGATTGCGCAAAAGGATGTTAATCTGGGTCAAAGTGAAGTTTCCGTCCAGAGCCACGTCACGCAGAATTTCCTCTAAGGTAACCGATTCCGCTGGACGCAAGAAATTGGTTGGACGGGCTAAAAAAGTACGTTATATGAAACATTTGCATACGTATATTTAATAAAGAGGAAGCACAAGGCACATCCGATTCATATGTGTGATGAATGACTCCACCATTAGGGGATACTGCGTGCGTTAAAGGTTCCTGCACGGCATGGCGCGAAGAATGCACATCTTGTGCGGTAGGTCCAGTACTTATCATCTCCCGTGCAGCTGAAAAGACATTCCGCGAAAAAAACCCATACCTTGTAATGACATAACTCCTTGCACTTCTCTCTGTATATCATCTTCAACTCGTCGTATTCTACGATAAAAAGTTGTGTTAGAGCAACTTGAAAAGGCGTTCACAGGCTTCTTATCCATAGCCGAAAATGGATCAGCGAACTCGGCGAGACACAGAAGCGAAATGGTAATTACGCGCCAGTAGCACAGTAATAAAATGGTGCATTTAAACATAGAGTGGCAGGAGCATTATCGATCGTTATGAAGCAAAATAATAAAAACAATGTGCTGACTGTAAATATTAATATACTACGCCAACACGCATTTCCATAAATAAAC